TGCGCGAGGGGGCCCCGAGCGAGAAGGATGTGTGCCACATCATTTCGACAAAACTTTACGACGAGTCGTCTCGGAAACTGTCCAATGCATGTGTGGAGGCAAGTAAGCAGACCCTTCCAGGGTCGCTGATTGGGAGTGGTTCGTGGTGCCTGGACGCGGAGGCGCTGCAGGTGAAGAAGGATGGCAGCGGTAAGAACATCGCAGGAGCGTGTGCGCAGGTGAAGTGTGAGGGTGGCGCAGTGAAGGTGAAGTACCTCGGCAGGAGTGATTTTGAGTCGTGTCCCGAGGGAAAGGAAATCACGGTGACGGACTCGGATGATTTCAGAGCGGGAGGGAAGCTCAAGTGCCCGAAGTACACCGAAGTGTGCACCATCGCCGCCGACGGCAGCAGTATCGTCATCCCCACCAAAGACGACCACGGCAAAGACGTCCCCGCCAAAGACGGCCACAGCAAAGACATTCCCGCCAAAGACGGCCACGGCAAAGACGGCCACGGCAAAGGCGGCCACGATGGCTGTGCGGCTGTTGTTGTTCTTTCCAGTCTGTTCCTCACCGCGATCACTGCGGTGGTGGCGGTGACGGTGCCGCTTTGAGCAGCAGTCGCAACAGAGCACTTCTTGCGGCGGCAGGGCAATGATGCCGCGACGCTTTTCACAGAGCATGTGTGCGCAGTATATGGGAATACGAGGTGGTTTCTTTGCAAAATGTCTTTGCTTTGACCACTTCTGGCCGTGAGGTGACGAGTGTTAAAATATTCTTTTTTTTCTTTCCAATAGCACCGCGGGTGGTGAGGTGAAGATTGCGCGTGGCCTTCGCTGGATGCAAGTGGTGAAGAAAAGATAAAAACGATTAACTTTGTTTTGTCTTCCACATGTGTTCTGAAACGTGTTTGCGTCACAGTGTTGTTTTGTTTTTGTACTGTACTCTGACTGAAATAATAAAAAGAGCAACGTATAATTTATATATATATATTGCGACTCCAAACGCCATGCCGAAGAGGGGAGAAGGGCTGTCCGTTGGCTCACGAACCCTTTTGTTATGGGCGAGGCGAGTTTTTTTTTTGTTGTTTTTGTCCTTGTTGCACGCGGTGGACACGCATATATATATTATTATTATTTATTATTATTTATTATTTTGCTGGGTCGCAGGTGTAGTCTTTTTTTTGGGTTTACAGCGCGTGCATGGTGTTCATTGCGCATGCCTGTGTATTTTTTGTTGGTTGATTTGTGTAAGGCCGCTGTGGGTGAATGCTCTCTGTGGTGGTGGGGAGTGCTTGTTGCACATTAGACACACTGCGATCTTCCATCGTTGTACTTGTCCTTTTTTTTTGTGTGTGTAGGAACTGAAGGAGAAGGCTCTGGACAGGTTGTTTTTTTTTTTTTGTGGGCGTGTTGCTGTTCTGTGGTTGCGGGAGGTGGTTGTTTCGCTGAGTGTTTTTTTTGGTGTGCGGCGATGGGTGATAATCTCGAGCCACAGCAGCTGGTAGAACGTCTGGGCGAACTGCTGACGATGTGGGCGAAAGAAGGAGGCTCTTCTGAGCTGGCGGGGCAACTTCTAAAGGTGTACTGGAGGTTCATGCGGGCAGTCCATCATGACCTTGTACTGAGGGAGCCTCAGGGCGCTGCCTTGGCGACCGCGGCCTGCATCCCTGTGTGGGAGATGCTACATTTTTATGGTGGTTCTTTTGGCGGTGCCCGTGGGGCAAGTAGGGCGTTTGTATTGAGTCTTCTAACGGCTCTGTACCCGAAAACGAAGGATCGGCGTTGCCTCTACCAGCACTCGGGCTGCGTTGGTGGTTTGGGGTTTCCGCGCGTTCCGCTTACCAACCGTCTTCCCATGTGGGCGGAGGTGATTAGGTGTCCAACCAACGGAAGTTGTGCGCCTGGCGCTTACGGTGAGGTTGTGGGGTATGTTCAAAACACCGTGTCAGCAGAAGAGTGCATTCTTGGTGGCTCTTCCCTTAATGGTTTGAAGGCGAAAATAAAGGTATTAATGGAAGACGTGTTGCCGCATTGTCGCTTTGTGACGGGGGACGCTGAGGCGACGTCTGTTACTGCAGCGCATCCAAGCGCGATTGTGATCTCAATGGCTGGCGATCCCTCTGCCTCGATGCAGTCGCAGGAGGTTTTTAAACAAGCCGTTTGGAAATATTTGGTTTTTCTGCACGTTTACCTTCCTGAAGAACGGAGGGCGCTGGGTAATTATCTAACCACCTCAGCGTGGTCGCAGCAGAGTGTGCGTCTCGCGGACGATTCAGTGGTAACATACGCTGCCATTATGGCCCCCATTGTACATGAGGCCGCGGTGTGTGTCTCGCTCATGCCCTCTTTTGCGACTGACGCCTCGGATAACGCCCCACTTTTCCACCCACGCGTGCTGGAGATGTTGCTACCGAAGGCAGCGGCAAACCAGGACTTTACACCGTGTCTGGATGACTTGTCAAAGGCTTTTGTTCCCGATAAAATCCGGAAAAGAGATGTTAGCGTTGCCCATGCCACGGTGGTTGCTGTGCGGGAGCTGCTTGAGGAGTCCATTCCACAGGAAATCACACTTTTCGGTGAAAGTACGTCGTGTCGCGATTGTGACAAACTAACGCAGTTTTGTCGAGATGTTCTACTCTCACCCATCACACAACATACCGCTGCCGGTGGAGTTACTGGTCTTTCTCCCCGTGCCATGAGGTCTATGCTGTTTAGCAGAAAGCGGAGACGCGACGATGGGTTTTACGAGGGACCCGTGTTTTTGCCAATCGCTTCCAGTTTGTCAGAAATGCTTGACGAGAAGGCCGCAAATCAATCACTCTCTGCGCTGGAGCGCATTGTAACAGCTTCTGCCTCACTGTGATTAGCGTGATCTTAGTTCTTCTCGCTCGGTCACTCTCTCTTTCTCTTGCAAATGTCTGCTCTTCGCGGCCTGATTTGTTGTTGTTTTCCGTTTTATATGTCACACATGTTTTTTTTTCTTTTTTACTGATCTATTGCGTCCTCTGAGTTTCATCTGCGCAGGTACGTTTGTTGATCGCTTCCACATGCCCACGCCTGGTTTTCTTTCTTGTTGCATGCACAAACGTGGGCCTTGTTCTTGCAGTAGGATTGTGTAGGATCTATTATTTATTGCTTTCAATTATTAGCAGGTGTGTGTGTGTGTGTGCGGTCTGTAGGAAGGACACCATTATCACGTTGGTGCACTGCGAGTAAAGGAGAAGAGAGACCATGCCAACAAGAGAGCTTAATCCGGCTCTCTCACCGCTTCAGCGGCAAACCGCCTCGAAGGATTACCCGGTGGTTCCAAAGGTGTGCGTCGTCACAGGGGGCACGGGGTTTGTGGGAATGCGGTTGGTGGAGATGCTGGTGGAGCGGGGGGCAGAGCGTGTGGTTTGCTTTGACATCGTCCCGGTAGAGAAAACCGTCGGTGCGTGGCGGCATCCTTCCATCCACTACGTTGCCGGCGACATTACAAACTATGAGGACGTGTCAAAGGCCATCAAGGGAGCCGACTGCGTCTGGCATTTGGCGGCAGCGGTGGGGCCCTTTCATCCGCGCGAATTGTACTACAAAGTGAACTACGGGGGAACGATGAATGTCATTCGTGCGTGTAAAGAGTGGGGTGTTCATAAGCTGGTGATGAGCAGCTCCCCCTCGACACGCTTCAAGGGAAGTCTGTTTCACCGTCCATGCGTGGATGGCTTGACAGAGGACGAAATGCCAAAACTGCCTTTGGACGCATATATGCAAATGTATGCGGAGACGAAGGCCAAGGCGGAAATGGCTGTGACAGCGGCCTGCTGCGACGATCTTTTTGTGGTGAGTGTGGCGCCCCATCAAGTGTATGGGCCGCGTGACAACTTGTTTTTACCAAACATGCTGGAGGCAGCCGGAACGGGCAAGTTGCGTATTTTTGGCTCAGGGAAAAATCGCATCTGTTTCACGCACGTTGATAACTACGCACATGGTCTGATCATCGCGGAACGTCAACTCTTTGAAGGCTCACCCGTATTAGGCAAATTTTACATTGTGACGGACGGCAACACCCACCCCGAGCCTGACGCCTACTGTGTTTTCTGGAAGGAGCTTGACAAGGCCGTGGTGGCCATGGGGTTTCAGTCCATTGAGGAGAAGGCGCACTATAACTTTTGGTTCCTCTACGTGGTGGCTCTGATTGCCGAGGCGCTGGGGTGGATGCTGGGCCGCGTCTTTAAATTGAACGTGTTTAACGTTTTTGTATTGACGATGCACCGCTGGTTTCGAATCACAGCGGCGGAGCAGGAGCTGAAGTATCAGCCGATTATCCCGTTTGTCGAGGGCTGGGCAGACACCATTCTCTGGTTTAAGCTCCACTGGCTTCCTACTTTTGAGCAGTGGGATCGATCATGGTTTGGCCTCGCCAGACGTTCACAGCAGAAAATTGACATTCAAGCAAAAAAGACAACGTGAGAGGGTTCTGTGTTTAGCGGCTGCTGTCATTATTATTATTATTGAACTGTTGGCGTTTGGCCTGCCTGGCTGCCTGCATGTATGCATCTCCCTCGTTCTATGTGGGCCTTGGCTTTGCATTGGAATGAGGCGTTGCATTTCGTCGGATTCTGCGAGAGGGAGATGTTCTTTCTTTTTTTTTCTTTTTCTCTGTTTTTGGGGCTTACCAAAATGATCGACACGGAAGCGCGTGTCTTCATGTTCGCCGGACACACGCCTTAAGTGGAAGTCGTTACTTCACCTGGCGCCTTGTCCGCGGCATGCCCCGCATGATCGACTTGTCGCTGGTTTTCATTTGCAGTTTTGTTTTTATTGTTGTTATTTTTAGCGGCCTGTGTGTGTGTGGTGAGGGGGGCTCGAGTGTCCGTCTCTCGATGAAATTGACTGCCCACACGTCTGTTTTTTTTTTCCTTGTTCCGGTGACGCATGGCTTCACCTCTCGCACTTCGTGTACCGGGGCATTGTAAGTGTGGCCGCGCAGCAAAGGAACGCCGCAGAGGAGGAGGGAGGGGGCACACACACACACACACACGACATCGCCCACGTGTATACTGTCACACGCTGAGGCGAACTCCAAAAGGAAGAAGAAAAAAAAACGAGAGGCCAGCAAGCAAACAACAAAAAGGAATATGGCTGCGTTGTACCCGTGGGTGCCTGCTTCAAACGTCGTCTACACGCTTGGCAGGCGCCTCGTGAATCGCTTTGCTCCGCACACGCGCAACAAGTTTCCGCGGCCGTGTCTGGACGGCACGTTGTCGGAGGAGTTGCTGCTGTACGGGAAGCGGGCCCAGAGCGACGCGTTCAGGTGCATGGAAGGTCTCTTTGACCGACGCACGCAGAGCTACGTGCGAAATGAACAGAAGCGCTACGCCCTCATTGGCACGAAGTTTGACTTTAAGCATACCAAGGCCCGGCTGTGGGCGGAGCGTGACGCCAAATTCGTCATCACTAGCCGAGAGGGAGGCTTTGACAAGGGTGAGGAACGGATTGGGGACTACGTGTACTTTACCCGTGTGGTGCCCGGGGGGATCCCAACGTCATTGGGTTTTATTGAAAACGGTTTGGCGAGGTTGACCTCCTTCGGAGGAGCTCATTAACCCGACCTCGCTGCAACAGTACTTTGGGTATGAGCAGTGTCACATTGGAAATCTGCCGCGTCTCTGAGGACGGAAAGTACTTGGCGTACACATTTTCCGTAGCGGGTGGAGATGGCTACATTTGCCACATGCGCAGCATGGACAACGCAGGCCTTTTTCATGTGATTTGTGGCCGAACTATTGTGAGCATTGAGTTTGGCTCAGGGAATCAATTTTATTTTACCGAGTCGAACGACCTCAGTCGGCCACAGACAGTGATCATGCAGGAGATACGTCCGGGCATTTTCCCCCCACCAGTGGAACTCTACTGTGAGGATGAGGAGCAGTTCTTTGTGGATGTTCACAAGACGAAGGATAATGCGTACATCATTATTACCTTCGACTCCAAGATGAAGAGCAGCGCACTTGTGCTTCCCGCCTCATTCCCGAAGATTCCACGTGAGCTGCAGGCCTTCTTCCGCAACGGTCGACCTGTGGGAGATTGCTGGGAGGGAGAACTGGAGCTGGCTGGAGCACTACGACGGTCACTTTATCATGGTGGTGGCCGACCGTGGTTCGAATCACCACATTGTTTACGCGCGCGAAGAAGTTGTTTTTAAACACGGCATACATGCCGAGTGGAAGGAGCTTGTTCCCTATTCCCTATCGCGACGATGTGCAGATTGTTGGCATGGATCTGTTTCAGGGCCGAATTGTCCTGTACGAGGTTCACTTTGCTTTTGAGCGCATCAACTACATCCGCATCATTAAGTGCGACAAGGACCTTGACGACGCCGCACGGCAGGCACGTAAGGACGACTTGCTGCTGCTTTTTCCCGTCCCTTGCCTCTGTGGCACCGGGGCTGAACAAAAATTTTAATCAGGACTCAATAAGTTTTGTTTTCAGCAGTATCTGTTAGCCTAGCAAGGACGGTGTGTTTAGATTTGACAGCAAGATGACGGCGGAGAAGAGTCAACTATGCAGCCCTGAGGCCCTTTTTACCCAACGTCAGTCAGAGCAATTTACCCCCTGGGACTACATGTGGCCGAACAGCATCTACCGTGACCTCTGCCTCTCTCGAGATGGCACACAGATTCCCATAACCATTTGTCAGCGGCGTGACGCCTTTGTGCAAGAGGCGACCGACTTTGAGGCGCAGCCCAACACACCAAAACATTGCCTCATTTATGTCTACGGCTCCTACGATGAGGTGCTGTCAATGCATTTTCAGCTCGCACCATACATGTAGATGCTGCGACGCCGTTGGACAGTTGCCTTTGCCCACGTGTGGGGTGGTGGTGAGTTGCCCAACTGGGCAGAGCAGGAGAATGGCAAGAATAAGATCAACGCGGTTCATGACTTTATCGCCTGCTGTGAACATATGATTAACATGGGTTACACCAAGCCCGAGCTGATGGTGGCGGCAGGGAATAGCGCGGGTTGCGTGCCCATCGCGGCTGCAATGAATATACGCGGTTGTGGACTGTTTGGTAATGCTCTGCTTCGTTCGCCGTTTTTAGACGTCATCAACACAATGCTCCACCCTGATATCCCGCTCTCGCTGGCGGAACGCGATGACTGGGGAGGCCCGCTGCATAGTGCTGAGGATTACGCTCGGCTGACGCAGTATGATTCATACCTTAACATCAACGATCGTCTTACGTACCCGGGCATGATAATCTCCACCTGCCTCGACGACGACTGTGTGCCAGCGTGGAATACACTGAAGTACGTTTCCAAACTGCGGCACCAGCGGCGACGTAAGGGGGTAGACCCTGTTGCCCGTCCTCTCGTGTTGCGCGCGTGGAGCAGTTGTGGACACTACGTTTGGGGGGATATGCAGAATGTCTGCAAGGAGCTCTCCTTCCTCTGCTCTCAGATGGACTTGGAGGGGCCTGGGAAGGTGCTGAACGACATGGATATCATGATGCACATGCATAATCTCACCGCCACTGGGGCGATGGACCATGACGACCAGAAGAAGGTCTTTCTCAAGTGGGACAGCTGGGAGCGGGAGCGCATAAATTACCACATGAAACTCAACAACTTTGACTGGGAGTCCAACCTTTTCAAGCTGAAGGCCGAAAAGGAGCCGTTCTTTTGGGTGCCAACCGAGCAGGAGATGCAGCAACGCAAGGTAGGCGAGATGTTTCGCGCGAAGGAGCGGGATGCACGTGAGGAGGCGAAAAGTGGTGCCAAGACAGGTAGCACAGGACGGGACGCAGGTGAGAATAAGTGGGCGGAAGAATCCAGGAGTAAACAAGTGCCACATACGTGAAGTAGTCTGTAAAATTATTTATTTATTTGCCGTTTGTAGTACTCCTCCCCGCCCACAGCCTCCGAGTTGGTGCTCGCCAACGTTGCGGTGAAGCCGATGTTGTTTTTGTCGCCTCTACCGTATACGTTGCAGGTTATGCATGGGATAGGTTTTCTTCCTGTTGTTGTTTTGCGGATATTCTTTGATTGCTTTCCACGTCTTGTTGTTTTTTTTTTTTTTTCTTATCGCCATTGTTTCTCTTGTCTCTTAGGAGGCGCGTCTGATTGATATGAGCAGCGTTTGGAAGGTTCTTGTCCGGCTTCACAACATCGTGAATATTCCCCGGGATGTCTGCGCCGAGGACGGATTTGATGACGCACGTGTCTTCTTCGTCGTCGCGCGGGCGGTGTCTGGCGGTGGCATTTTTTTCACCAACTGCCCGGAGGTAACCGCGAAGTTTACGACGCGGGACATCGCGCGGACGTCTGCTGGCGATGTCTTGGAGGTCAAATTTGACGGCCGTGACGAGCGTTGCGCCGCTGAGTGGTCGACCTCCGCCCCAACACTTGAGCTGATCCTGCTAGTGAGGGAGCAGCTGCAAAACTCCGTGCGCGTTGTCGGGTCAAACGCGACAAATCTCGTGATTAACATTGCCGATGTGGTGCAGCGGCGGAAGCTCGTGACACACCTCGTGGGGACGGGGATGGGTCAGGTGGGCGTCTCGCTCGCTGTGACACCGTCCGACATTGCCGGCTACCGGCGACGCCTCACGGAGTTCCTCGCGCAGTACAACCCGGGTGGGCTGCAGCTGGTGGACGGTGTCGTGCGCAGCATTCCGGAGGTGGACACTTTCACAAAGTTGTATAGAAAGTACGGTCTTATAGACTACGAGCGGCGCATCCGGGACTTTTTCCGCGTGTACGGGCGGGAGCACGCGACTCGGATTCCGTCGCTCCTGCAGGAGTGGGAGAATCGTGAGGAGGAGTTGTTGCACAGCCTTGTGATTGACAACGGGCCGGAGCCAGACACCATTGACACGGAGACACGTCTGGCGGCCTTCTTGAAGGCACACAACTTGAGCGCCGCCACGCCGGATGTAGCACGTGCTGTGCGTGAGTTTGGGGAGGCGCCGCGTAAACTGTTTGAGGCATTGACAATGAGGTACGGTCCAGAACCGGACCCGCGCGGTTACTTGTTTCCACCAACACAGTACGAGTCGCCACGGAATCCGCGCCAAACACGCCGACGCGAGGTGGAGCCGTTCGCCTCAGCAGTGGAAAAGAAGTTGTCGCCGCTTAGAGGAACATTGTCAAGTGGGAGTGCACAACAACCGGTGGAGGAAACATGGTCACCACAGCAGCGGACTTCCCCCGTTATTGAGAGCGTGTCTCATGTTGGTCCCACGTTCACTGCAGACACCGCCTCCAATGCAGGGTGGAACCACAGTTACAGCAAGGAGGAGAGCGGGAAGAGTCTTGACTACGACAGCAGCGGGGACGCCTTGTGGGTTGCGTTCTGTGAGGCTCTGCGGCGTCATGGGCAGCGACCGTCAGACGTGTACTACATGAACAAGGCAGCGTTTAACGCCGCCGTGGAAAAGATGGGCTACACCAATCGAGAGCGTGAGGTACTCAGTCACCATTGGGAACAACGCCTGCGTGCTGCCGTACGAGAAGAGAATTTGACTTTCAGCGATCCGTACTGCGACACAGTCAGAAGCGAGGTACTCAACCTGGTTGGACTGCAGGAACTCAATCTGGAGGTGGTGGCGGTGACAACGGTGGCAAACAGCGAACATGCCAGTTGCTTTGCCAGCAGACTCTCTGCGGCACATCAGCGTACAACTGAGCGGCTTGCCATTGTTGGTGAATGCCATCGGCTGCGTGACATTGTCGTACGGGGCGTTGGCGGCGATACTGTTGGGGAACCCCTACCCAGAGAGAACCCATGCGCTGTGTTTTACCGTCGCCCATTTCAAAACTGGAACCGTAGACAGGCCACCACTATCCTTGTCTGTGATGTGGTCATTGGCAGGCCTTTTGTCTGCCCACCGCAAGAAAAAACGATGTGTGCGGGGACGGCAGACTTCTTAAAGGAGTGGGATTGTTGTGTGTTTCACGATTCTGGCGGCGGACAGGCGGTGGCAGTGTACGATCCGAAGCAGGTGTTGCCTCGTTACATGGTGCAGTGTCACGTGGATGTCACCATCACGCCATGTCAGGCACATCCGTCGCGGGCTGTGGAGTACTACGCGGTGGAAAAAAAAGCATTTGTGTGCAGTCGCTGCGTCGTATTGGGCGCCTACCGTCAGGAGGAGGTGCTTGCGATTGAAGACGCGGCTGTGCAGGCACGTTTACGACTATCAGACTATAGGCGTGACGTGCATCAGCTTGTAGCGGATCTTGCAGTCCGCGAGACTGAGCTTAGCCGCGAGCTAGATGAGATGAGGACGGCACCAAAGCGTCTTGAGGTGGAACGGGAAGTAGAACGGATTCGGCGCGAGGCGGAGGAGCGTGTTGCGGCTATTCTGCGGGCCATGGAGCAGTCAGACGTTGAGCAGCGCAGTGACCTTCAACTGCGCCAGAAGTGCGTCTTGAGGGTTAAGGAGGCGGCCGGCGTACTTGACGAAGCCCTCACGGCGGCTTTGCAACACACCAACCCGCTGCAGTTGGTGGGGGCGCTGCAGCACATGCAAGCGGAGGAAGAGGTGCAGTATCTGAGAAGCGAGCTTCAAAGGAGCTGCAACAGACTTACTGACACGGACAGTAGCGGGGCGAAGGTGTTTGCCACTCAGGCGGTGGGATCACCAGTAGCAATACGGCAATACTGCGATGCCACTACTACCGCTTCAGCCGCGGACACTCGAACACGCGCTGTTTTTGACCACAACGATAACCAACAGAAAAAGGGCATTGACCCCAGCGTGAATAGCCACCATAGCCACATGTATTCCAGTAGCAGCAGTGCGGTCCTGCCGAGTCATCCTACAAAGCTACAGCAATCACCAATGAATGTCACGAGGAACAGTCTGTACGCCAAGTATATTGCCATCGCCTCAGGTGCAGGAAAAGAAGAGGGCGAAGAAAACGTGGAGGCGAAGGAGGAGACCTCAAGACCTCAACTCATGATTTTAAACGTCAATAACAAGAAAGAGAAAGGTGGCAAAGGCTGCGATGTTATTCGCGCAATGGGCGCGTCCCCGGGTGACGTCGTTCGACGCGCGAAGGAGGCAGTTACAAAAGGTTGGGCCTTGTATCGTCAAGGTGACGCTGAAGGGGCCCGGTGCGTGTGGAATGACGTGCACGAGCGCCATTTGGATAGCGCTGTAGGGGCTCGTGCGCGGGCCTACATTTTGGAGGCGTTGGACCGGGACTACGAGGCAGCAGCCGCGTGGTACGATGTGTCACTGAAGCGTGATCCGTCTGATGTGATGACGCTGTACAACTACGGTGTGCTGCTTGAGACACTTCTCGGCCAGCGAGAAGAGGCGCTGATGCTGTTTGAGCGGGCGCACGCACTCGGTGATGGCGCAGCTGGTCGGCGTGCACAGCAACTTCGTGTCTCACTAGGGAAGGCGTGAGTGAACGCGCATGCGTGTGGAGGGATGAAACCACCTTCTTCTCTCCCGTCCTTCCTTTTTTCTGGGTCTCGCTGTACTTTTTTTTGTTTTTATTTTGTTGTTGTTTTCTTCCGTGGCCGTGGTGTTGACCGCCTTCACCCACCCGCACACGCCCCACTCAGTTATCGCGCTTTTTTTTTTAAATACTTTTTTTGGGGTGGAGGCTCACCCTCAATTATATTTATTTTGCTCTTCACACACACGTGCCCTCTTGCGCGTGGCCGTCTCTCTGTGTGTTGGTTTGATGCTACACCACCTCTCTATCTCCCTAATCCTCACTCTCTTGTTGGGTGTACGTGTGCAGCCTTTCATCTTCTTTTCTCTTGCTGCTTATTGACGTGTCCGTTGCAAGATGCGTAAGTGCATCTTTTGGACGCCCGTACGACCGGGAGAACGGCGACGCGCCTCAATAGGCTCACCGCAAAGTGAGCTGCACATTCCCTCGCCGGGGCCGTGCGGTAAGGGAACTGTTGGCCTCGTCCGCATCGATGGTGAGGTGCCGCTGATGGGGGACATGAGCTCCAACAGTGTCATTGACTCCGCCTGTGAGCCACGAGCAACGTTGGCTCCCTTGGCGGCAAGCAACAAGCTGGGCGGTGAACATCGCAATGCACTTAGCGCCGTTCATGGCAACGACGCTCGCAGCGCGGAGCGAAATTTATCGGTGACTTACGAAAAAGAAAGGAATGGGAACATGAAGGAGGTGGCGTGCCGGTACACGTGTGCGTTGACCTCTTCCCCGAAGCGGACGCTTGCGAGTACCGATACCGTTGCAACACCTGTTGAACTTTACACGTTGTTTTGTCGCGCTGCAGAATTACCACCACCTGCGATGGAGCAGCAACAGCAGCAGCAGCAACCACGTGTGCGGTCGCCTATACCAGAAAGGCCAGACACGGAAGCGCCTGTCTCCACCTTTTCGCGTGGACCGCAACGGTGGCTCGGTCGGCGACTGAAGTCACCAATGCCAGACGAGGACAATGATTACGACGTTACCGTCAGCTGCGGTAGCGAGAAGTTGCTGGTGAGGGGAGAGAAGCAAGGAAACCAAAAAAGGGATGAGGAATGTGGCCAGAGCATTCTGGTATCCTGCTCCGACAAAAGGCTGCAAGACTCTGCTCATGTTACTGCAGAGAACACGGTGGCTTCCGTGCCTCCAAAGAAGCCGCCCGTTATGCGTTCACCTTTGCCGCGCTTTCTTGGTGCAAGCTCGACGCCATTGGACTGGGAAGCGAGGCAGCACATAGAGGGAGGGAAGTGGTGCAGCCCTGACACAGCCTCGGTGCGTCATCGTTCACGTGCTGACCCCACGTGTGCTGCGTCTGTTGGCCACCATCCTGCGGCAGAGACGTGTGAGCCCTGTCAACAGTCCGCTGTCACATCTGCCTTTGAATTACGTGCTTTGCCAGAGGAGCCACCGGGTGACGCGTTGACGGTGGTTGACATTGACCTTTCTCCCGACACCAGCGCACCAGAGCTGGTCGACTGGCACGTTCTTGTGGAAGAGTCCATCACCCTGGACCTGACGGTGGGTTCCGAGGAGGTGGAAGAAGCGCCACAGCAGCCGGTGAGGTGTTTGGAAAGTCCTTTTTTGCCCACGAATGCAGGATGTGGTGGAGTGCATAATGTTGACAACTCGAGGTCCTTCTCAACGCTGCCCGCATCGGCAGCATCCACAGTGCTAGTAGCAGAAGAAAAGGAGGCAATGAGGTTGTCCCCGCAGTCGCCGCAACAATGGGAGGCAACGTGGCCACTGCCGTTGGATAGTCGCGACAGTGTGGCATACCAAACCTTGTGGCCTCCTTCTACTCAGCCCATGGACAGCAATTCATTTGGTAGCGCATGCGATGAGGAAGAGTTTGGGGTTATTCGACACTCTTCTCCGCTAAAAAGCGTGCTCGCTCGTCTTGCTGCAAACAAGGATCATCATCTTCACGGTGGTGGAGGAGGCGAAGTGCGGAGCACGGCGTCGCCTCTTCCATCACCACCTCTGACTTCTGTTTCTTCGACGGCAGAAATGCAGGGTTCATTGTCGCATCAACGCAAGACACATCAGTTTGATTTGGCGCCGCTGCCGCTGGTTGTGGAACTCTGTCGCGCGTTGCTTCCATTTGCGCGGAGGCTACTTTTGTTGCTTGCGCAGGAGAGCGGTGGCAGTGCGGGCGTCGTGTGTGAGGTCTGTGCTGAGGTTGCAAACTCCATTTTAGAGGCGGAGGGAGTCCGTCACGTGCGAGCGACGCGCCACCTTTGCCGCACTATTGCGGTCCTGGGCGGCGCCGATGCCTTAGATGATAGCGCGCTGCCGTACGCCATATTTGTGGCGAGTCTGCTGCAGTTGGCGGGGGGGCCGTAGTGCGTGGGACGGTGTGGGTGGAAGGAAATGAAATGTTCCTTCAAACGCCTGTTTTTGAGGTGCTACGGTGTCATCCCCAACGGCGGTGTTTTTCTGGGCGCACGTATTGCTGTTTTTTTTTTTCTGCTTTGACCTGCACTTCGTCGTTTTTTTGTTTTTGTTTTTTACTTTTCTTTTTTGCGGTTGAAATGCTGTCTGCTGGTGGGTGAGGTGCCCCTTTTCCTCTGCTCACCCGCAGCGTGCTAGCGGACGTGTTGTCGGCATACCACACCACTCGCGAGAAAAGGCAGGGAGGGAGGAGGGTGGGGAGGAGAAGTTAGTCTGCGGTGCTTGAAGGGGTCACTACTGCAGATTCTGTGTAAGTCTGCGTGCGTGTTTCTGCATATTGAACTTCCAGGTAAAATGTTCAACCCCTCGCCTCGTGGTAGCAGAGACGACCCGTCTGCATTTGCTTCATACGTGTCTACGCAGCGCGGCGCGGCGGAGCTGCTTGCTGCCCGCGCTGAGGGGCCTAGTCTTCCTCCGCCCTCCGCTGAGAATGCGTGCACACGGGAAGAAACGACGGAAATGAAGGGGAGCGCATCAAGTGGCGAACTGCGGCCGTTCCAGCAGGAAACACTCTTCGAGGTTGCGGATGTCTGGCATGATGCGTCGTCCCCCATGAATATCCCCCAGCACCTGCACTCGTCGCCGCCGTTTGCCATGTACGCATGGCAAACGGAGATTTTGCAGCGGGAGGAGTCACTTGTGCGGCGTGAAGTGGAGGCCTTTGCGCAGGGAGAGAGGCTTGCGCAACGAGAGGAGCAGCTGCGCCACCTGCAGGAGCATCTTGCCACGAAGGTGGCGGCCGACGCCAAGCGAAGACAGCTGCATGAAGCGAAGTGCGCGTTGGAACGACGGGAGCATGAGGTGGCACAAAAACTTGCCGTCGCACGGGAGGAAAAGGATAATCTTGATGCGCGTGCTGCAGAGCTTGACATTCGCGAGCGGAGACTAGAGGAGGAGCAGGAGTGTCTGTTGAACGACGCCCAGAGGCAGGTGGATCTTATCCATAGCAGTGCGCGCGTGCTGCAAGAAAAGGAGGCCACCGTGGCACAGCGTGAGGAGAGCTGTTCTCGGCACGAGGCCGAGCTGATGCTGCAGCGTGAGTGCCTTATCGGTTGGGAGGTCTCGCTGAGCCGCCAGCAACGCCAATTGGACGCTCAGCTCGCGTCAGTGGTGGATAAACTTGCTGCTGCTGAGAAAATCGTGTTGCGTGAGAACAATGTGCAAGAACTGGAACTGCGCCTTTGCGAGCGCGAAGCGTTGCTGTGGGAGACAGCAGCAAAGAAGCTGCCAGGCAGCCGAGAAGACCTGAAGGGTCTGATCGCGTCTCTCAGAAGGCTTCAGGACAAACTTTTTAGCTGCGAGTTCAAGAGGCATACAAGTTCTGAAGTGTTGTAGAATCTGGAAAGAAGAGAGAAGTGGTGGTGGGCGTTGTTGCAGGTGCGTTTCTGTAGAGACAAATCTACGCGTATTTATATGCATTTGATTCTGAATGGTCACGGTCTTAGCGTTGCTCTTGTTTGAAGGGCGGCGATGTACTGTGGGGCGATGAATGCCAGCAGAAAGGTCAACTTGTGTTTGCGTGCACGTCGGTGCTGCTCCTCTCATTACGTGTGCAGTGATACGTGCACTTTTGAGAATGTGTCTGTTTGTATATTTTTCCCTTTGAAGACGACAGCGATTCAGTAGTATGAGTGGAAGATTTATGCTTTTTTTTTGTTTTTGTTTTTTATCTTCCTTACCGCTTCTTCGATGGTCTCCTTTTTGTTGTGTGCGCCTCCTCTGTGGTCGGTGGATAGGCGTGCGCATTCGGCTCTTTACCCTGTTAAGTTGGCGTCGTGTGGTTGTGAGGAAAAGTTTGCTGGTGGTGTCCAACCAACAGCAATGTCATCGCTGTCTAAGAAAAAGTACTACGCCGTCGCGGCAGGCTACAAGACAGGCATTTATGAGTCGTGGGACGAGTGCAGCCGCAACGTAACTGGGTTCCCACGAGCCCGGTTTAAGTCCTTCAAGACGTTGGAAGAGGCGCAGGCGTTTCTTGCTTGTGAGAACGATGCGGACCACAAGGGCACTGTGGAGGGTGCAGCAGCAGATGTTGCGTGTGGCGTGGCACCGACGCTGGGCAGGCAGGAATGCCTGTCTGTTGAGCCTCCGGCAGCAGCAGCGGCAGCGGGGAGGAAGCGTCAGCGTCAATCACTTTCGTCTTCGGCCTCCCTGTCGCCGTTGACACTGTCGGAGGTGGAGGAGGGCATCACGGGGGACGCAGAGATGCTGCAGCACGTTTCCCATGAGTGGATGAAGGCGAGGGAGCAGGAGGCGGTGGAGGTGTACGTCGATGGGGCATGCCGCGCAAATGGCAAGGGGACACTTTCACGCGGTGGCTACGGCGGTTACTACGGGGAAAACGACCCGCGGAACTTCTCCCTACCACTTCCTGCTGCTGAGCCGCAGACAAATAACCGAGCGGAGCTTCATGCCGTCATTCATGTAATTCGAATCGCGTTAGAGGCAGAGCCATGCTACAACCTGCGTGTCTTCTCTGACAGCGTGTACACCATTCGGGGCGCCGACTTTTACATGCATAAGTGGATACGAAACGGCTTTTGGGGCTCCAAGGGATCGACTGTGGCGAACTGCGACCTTTGGAAGACGCTACACGCCATGCGCTGCAGGCATGCAGGCCGGTACTGTGATTTGCTGGTGGCTCAGTTTGGATTGCTGCCTGTGGTGGCGCGGAAAGTGGCGGGGCGGCTGTCGTTGCAGTTGGTTCATGTGAAGGGACACAGTGGTATCCACGGGAATGAAATGGCGGACCACCTGGCGGTGATGGGCGCGCTCCACGGACGGTCCACCGACGAGTGAAGGTGCGGCCTCCCTATGCTTTTTTCTGGTGCTCTACAGTTGTACTCGAAGTTGTTGCCAGCACCACTCCGACGCCGGTAGAGAGTACGTGCGTGCGTGAGAGGGGGGGGGGGTTCTGTGAAGCCACGGCATCCTTTTGGGCCTCTCCTTATCTCTTCCTTGCCCTTTTTTTTTGTGTGTGCCGTTTTTTCACTGTTTCTTTTCCGTCGCATGCGATGCAAGAAGCAAAGGAAACAAATACAGAATAGATAGCAAGAAAGTTGGGTGGTGCAGTGCTCGGGCAACGCAGAGTTGGCAAGATAGGTGATTGAGTGGTGAATGGTGATGAGACTGCACGAGTAGTTATGATGCTCGTCCTTGTTGTTTTGTTGCTGTCGTCTGCGGCGCTGACGGACGGGGTGACCGTCACGTCATGCTCTCACTGCACTACGAGCGCAGTTCAAGTGTGGTGTCCTGATGACATGTCGTGTCATCCAGCGGACAATTGCAGCTGTGGGACGGGCTGTTTCAGCCTTGTTGACTGCTTCGTGCAGGGGACGACGTGTGCCCGGTGCGTCAGCAGCGGCGGCACCTTCTGCACTCGTCCCGCCAATGGGCACCGCCCGTGTTTCTTTACGGGTGTCGGCGCGGCGAGGCGTCCTGCAACGGCATCACAAGAAGCGCAATGTAGTGAGGTGTGTTTGGAGAGCGGCCGCTGCCTGTCACGCCTCGACGAGTGCCCGAAGGAGCCTGTAGACACCGTGCTGTTCAGTTGGTTCGTCGTCAACGTTGCAGTCGCAGTGGCCATTACGGTATTCGTAGGTATCGTAGTGCACGTCGGTGTGGTGAGGGCAAAGGTGGAAGTCTCGGCGTCACCGACGGCACACGCGCGTGGAGCGTAGGGGCCGCTCTCGTAGTTGCAGAACACCTTCCGTTCCTCCTTTGCCGCACCGTGGGTGCACTGCCAGTGAGCCCACACAGGGGATGGATCAGCTTTGTTACAAAAGCTGCGGCACGACGGCGTCACCGCACATCTGCAACTGTTTTTTTTTGTTGTTTTTTTGAGAAGGGGGGTCAGACCTCGACTGAAGTTTATCAATCTATGCACTGATATATACGCTTATTTATGCATATATATGTGCTTCTCCCTTCGCCAGTCACCACCCCCCCCTTCCTGTAGGCAAACGCGCCTCATCTGTGTCCTTTTTAATTGATGGCCTGTTATTTTGTGTCTCTTATGTTATTTTGCCTCCCTGCTTTGCGAACACACAAAACGGAGAAGGCGCACGCACACATACGTCCTTGCAGATAAGCAGACACATAGAAGGAGGGTAAAACCAAAGATACAAGACGAAAGGAAGAAAAAAAAAAGGTTTGCGTGTGTGTGAAGAGAGAAGGCGGTTGGATGCGATGTGGATTGTGTACTTCAAGGGCGAGGCCTGTTATTGGCTGCTGGGCGGTGAGGCCTACACGGTGGGCAAGAAGGACTGCCACATTACCGTCAAGGATGACGCGAGCATAAGCCGCACGCATCTCAGAATAGAAGTTGGGCAGTTACCGGCGGCGGTAGCTGAACGACAGCCAGAGGGAAAAGGACAGGAGGAAGAGGAAAAAGAGACGCCTGGACACATTGCCCTTACAGATGTGTCCAAATACGGCACTGTGGTATCTCCCTCCTCACCGTGCAGCAGCGGGAATGGGCATGAAGCGAATGATGTTATCACTAGGGAACTGCAGTTATGCCGTAGTCATGCTGGCGTATATGATGCGGAGACGGAAAAAGAGGCGGAGGTGTTGCTGCTGACTTCACGCCAGAAGCTAAATAAGGATGAACCGTTCCATGTGCCGTGTGAAGAACCCTCGTGGCGGGACTTTTCCATCACCCTTGGCGCACACGGCGCAGCCCTGCGGCTGCAGTGGATCCCAATGCGTGTCTTTCCTCTCGCTATCGAAGCGGAGCAAAGAGCGACGTTGGACTGCTGCCTACGCCGCTGTGGAGCCCACTTTGTGTTGGGCTTTCACAACGCGGATTATCTTGTCACCTCCCGTCTTACGCCGACCCCTGTTACCATCGCTATGTTGTGTCGCGCCGTGGAGATTGTGACGCCCGCCTATTTTGAGGCGTTGCAGAGTCGCCACGGACCGCACCTGCCTCTGCCAGACCCGCGCGCGTACATGCCACCACTCGCCGAATTCTGGTCGACGCTGTGGAATGACGCGACGAGCGACGACGGCGGTGGGGGGCCCTCGCAGGTACAAGCGAGAAACGAAGATCCCAACGGACTGAGGCTGCTGTATCCACCAAATCGGCTGGATCGTCGGCGGCTGTTTGCCAACCTCACCTTTGTTACTGTGCAGCGATCGCTTTATGAGGAGGTTCGAAACTTTATTTCGTGTGCCCAAGGGCGAGTGGTGTTGGATGAGTCTTTGCAGCATTCTAACAATAACGAACATGGCGATAAGGTCGTTGGATATTTCTACACCGAACACCATCGTGATGTTGTGCTGTACAACAGCCGCGAGCGGCTTCCGCTTCGGCACTTTCTGCATGTTATACGGGACCAACTTGGGCTCTGCTGCGTGGAGTACTTTGACATCATCAAGAGCATCGCCCACGCGGCGCCACTCACACTGACCCCCTTTCCCACGAACCCCTTCCCGCAGCTGCAGAAGCTGGCTAAAAAGGAGGAGGCAGTGGAAACAGGACGAAAGGTGACTGCTGGGAAGAAGCGGGCGCATGCTCCTACGAGTCCCGGTGGAAGGCGCACAGACCCAACGCCTCTTTTTCGTGACGCACCGAGTGATACTGAGGCAGGTGCGGCAGCTGTTGGCGATGATCAGCAGGTAACAAAAAATACCAAAAACGGAGATGGCGTGGGTGGTTGGATCTCCCGCGAGCTTACTGCATATCCCGACGCAAAGGATCTCATTGTGGTGGGTCCGCCTCCCCTGCCGCCGTATCCATGTTTCCAGCCGTACGGCAGCAGTGCAGGTGGCAGCCCTGCTGCGGGGTGCACAGCTGCGGGTTCAACCGATACGAAGCGTTTTGTCAAACAGCAGCTCACTGTGAGCAGCGAGACGGTTGAGATGGAGCGATTAACGAGTCTGCCTGGCCACACAGTGCTGTCCACAACGCGCGCCATCGACGCCGATGACATCATTCCAGAGACGTTGGAGGCGTCAACGGGGCGGTTGAACGAATTGCGTTTCAACGCCTTTGACGCCACGGCGCACCACCATCGGCAGCACAGTAGGACAGCAGCCACAAGACGAGGTGTGGGAAGACGTGTTGTGGCGCCCGCGATGACGCCGACCGTGACGGCAGCGAGGATGGCGGACTTGGGAGATGGCGGGGTCTGTGCGCCAACGAATATGGGGAACCGCAAAAGAGCTAGCGGTGTCCCTGTGAACATCTTTGACATTGAGGGTCTTTTCTAACGGTGATGCGGCTTGCACCGGGATATTGGCGTTGTTGTTGTTGTTTTGTATTTTCTTGGTCGCTGTGTGCGTCTGCATCTCGATTATTTTTGGCCTTTTTTTGCAGTTTTTGTGGTGGAGGTTGGGGGTGGGGTGACAGTGAATGGAGGAAGAAGCGGCACACACACGCACACGTAAGTTGTTATCTCGCACGTTGCTGCCTTCCCTTGTCTCTTTGCTTTTTTGATCTTTCTCGCCCCGGTGTAAATAACGCGTCTGTTGTTGTTGTTTGTGTGTGTTGTTGGCGTCTGCAGAGATGAATGGATGCGTTGCGGCGGGGGTATGATGTGACATCATATCTGCAATATGAATATATATATGTGACCATGCTTTTGTTTCTTTGTTTGTTCTATATGATCTTTTATGGCTTTTATTCCTTCCCCTCCTCCTGATTATTATTATTTTTTCGTTCAGGTGTACTTTTTCCATTGCGCACGGGTGAGAGAAGAATGTACTCCTCCATCGAGGTGCAAGATCCGACAGCAAGTGTGCCGATAAGTTACGCGCTTCTGGAGTTACCGTCAAAGAAGGAGTTACGCAAGAAGGGTTACAAGCTGGAGGAAATCAACACCACCTCCACGCGCGATCACCCACTCTCAAAATGGACGACACACATGCTGAGGAGGGGTGTCACGTACCGTCACGCCCTTGACGCCATTCAGGAGGCAAACAAAAACTCGTGGGGATTACTGAAGGCCCGCATCAATTTCAGTTGCGGCTCCTTTGACAGTTACGCACGCCTCAAGCCACATGACCCCATGTCGCTGAAGCACGTCGGTTCATACGACCCCAACGGCGTGTACAAGCTCGCCACCATTGAGGCGTCCGTGGCAAGTCGTGCCCGTCTGTTTCCGCGACTGAAGCCCCTTGTCGATGAACGTGGCTACCACACATGCAAGAAGAGTGTGCCGCGCTCATTTGCGCCGCAGGTTTTGTACAAGGATTGCCCACCACCGGTGTTGTCGCAGGCAGGTTATGATTTCACACCCGTGAGCCATACTGCCTTCCTGTTGCGTCCTGGTGATCACCCGCGGGGGGTGCGGAACGTGAAGAGTGATTTTATGAAGGAAAGCTGTGACTACAGGCCGCGGTCTTACCTCCGTGACGAGGTTAGCGGAGGCGTGAACAGTCGGCATTGCCACTGCGCGGAGGTGTATCAGGTTGGGGACTACACAGCAGATTATGCCCGTGTCACCGACGTGGTGAATCAACGCAACGCTGTCGTTCAGAAGGATTTTACAAAGACTGGCACGCTAAAGGCGAACAGCAGCATCGTGGGACGGCGCTACGCCAAGGCGCCGACGTTTCCCTGCACCCATCACGTCAGTGCCAAGGGGGGGGATACCACCGCCACTGCTGCCGCCGCCGAGCCCCAGCAGACTGCCACCACCCGCAGTAATGAGACGCCGAATGAAGCCACAACACCCAATGCTGATGAGCCAATGCAATCACAAGTGAGGCGCGCTGTTTGTTTTGAGGATGAGCACAGCAGCAAAGTGGCTTAGGGAAGTTTATATTATCTCAAACATGCACATATTTCTCACCGTGCAGTGTGTGTATGTGTTGCAGTTTTTTTATGTATTTGAATTGTAGAAAGACAAAACAAAACATTTTCTGACTTTCTGTGTACACCAGTTTTTTTTGTTATTTTGTTTTCTGTATGATTTTTACATATTCGTGTGTGAGTATGTACATAAGGAGAAAAACGCAAAAAACAAAAGAGGGAGGAAGTTTGGTGCGAGCTTCAGAGTGCATGGGAGTGTGGAGAAATGGCGGCATGTGGGCAGCCACGAGAAAAATGAGGACTCTCGCTTCCAAGAGGAAACAAGGAGGGGGGGGGGGAAGAACAATACAAGAAAAAAAAAGTTTCTGTCGCAGTGAGAGCATGTGGCTACTGCTTCGTGTTGTTGCTGTTTTTGGCATGTTGCTTTTGTTTTTTGTTTTGCCCACTGCTGTGGTCAAGGCTGCTGCTCTTCTCCTCCGCACCAGGAGTCCCTCCTGACACGTACTCATGAAGGAACGTTCTATGCGACACATGACGCCGCATTCCCTCAAGTGGGGATCCCCGTCCCTGTTCGCACCATCGGTTCGGTGATTTAGACGGATATTTTTACGCATGTGACTCCCTGCGCGTGTAGGCACACCCACCTTTTTTTTTTCTTTTGCCTCTTTTCCGCACAGATATTCCCCTTTCTTAGTCTGGACTCATTCCCAACCCTGCATTCTCAACACACACACACAGATACGTATTATTTTTTAAAAAGAAAGTTTTGTGGCATCGCATTCCGCGCAGGCAATTGTTATTACTATTACTACCACTTACCCACCTACCTACGGTTAAAGCGTTTGTGTGTGTGTTTGTGTGTGTGTGCGGAGGTGTCTGAGCAGCGAAGGATAGAAAACGGTGAAGGGAGAGAGAAAGGGAAACGAGCAAAAAAAGAAGGAAGAAGAAGGAAGTTTGAAGTGAGTAATTGTGCAGGTGTGTGTCACAGAAGGAAATCATGGGAGTTCCAAAGTTCTTTCGGTGGGTTGCGGAGCGCTGCCCGACGGTTATTACCCCATTTCGCAACTCCCCGCCAGCTGTCGACAACTTGTACCTCGACATGAACGGCATTATTCATAACTGCACCCACACCAACGACGTTGATGCAACACAGAAGGCGGCAGCGGAAAAGGTGATGATGGAGGCAATGTTTGCCTACTTGGAGAAACTCTTTAACGCGATTCAGCCGCGCAAGTACTTTTTTCTGGCTGTTGACGGCGTGGCGCCGAGGGCGAAGATGAACCAGCAGCGCCAGCGTCGCTATCGTAGCGGCTACGAACTTATGGTGGCCAGACAAGAGGCCCTTGCACGCGGCGACGACGTGCCTGATGAGAAGGATGTGTTTGACAGCAACTGTATTACCCCTGGAACGGACTTTATGGTGCGGGTGAGTGAGCAGTTCCAGTACTTTATAACCATGAAGATCGCCTCGGATCCGGCGTGGCAGAACTGCCAGGTTGTGTATTCCGGCCATGACGACCCGGGCGAGGGCGAGCACAAGATTGTGGACTTCATACGCCGTCGTAAGATGCAGCCAGGGTACAGCCCCAATGAAACCCACTGCATGTACGGCCTTGACGCCGATCTTGTCATGCTCGCGCTCGCAACGCATGAACCACACTTTCTGCTTCTGCGGGAGGTGGTGACATTTGGGCCCGGGCAGGAGTCGCGCCGCGTCCGTGAGCAACGCGAGGAGGATGAGGCCAATGGAATTATTGCTGATAAATCTTACCGGAAAGCCGATGAATTTGTGTTACTTCACGTGAATGTTCTGCGTGATTACCTTGACCTGGATGTGCGGAACAAACTTGGCGCGAAGCTTCCAGCTAGCTACGACCTGGAACGTTTTTTGGACGATTTCGTATTGATGTGTTTCTTCGTCGGCAACGATTTTTTGCCGACGATTCCGACGCTTTCCATCTACGATGGTGGGCTGTTGCAGATGCTTGACGTTTATTGCCAATACATACTTGGGGAGTGCATGTACCTCACGAACGCGGGCCAAATTAACTGGCGTGCGGTAGAGCTATTGCTGCAGCACATTGGTGAACTTGAACTCTCCACCATCAAGCGGTGTCAACAGAGGGAGGAGGAGTATCAGCGGAAAATGCAGCGTTATGATTCCACGCACGAGGTGGCCGCCGTCACAAGCGCTACAGTAGAGAATATACAAGAATATAAGGAGCGATTTTACCGTGAGAAACATGGATTTGACAACGGATGGGATCCGCAGGGAAAAGACATGGCGGAGTTGAAATTACACTACGTTGAGGGCTTGTTGTGGGTGATGGGGTATTACTACCAAGGGCCACCGTCGTGGAAATGGTACTTCCCGCACCACTACGCTCCTATGGCAAGTGACTTGGTAAACCTTCCTGCCATTGCAGAGAAGGTGGAGTTTGATCTCAGTAAACCATTTCTCCCCCATCAGCAACTTCTCGCCGTACTGCCGCCCATGTCATACCGTTCTATGCCACCTGCCTACTGGCCACTTATGCTTAGTGACAAGAGTCCGCTAAAAAAATTTTTTCCTGAGATTTTGCAAATTGATCGTGAGGGCGCGCGGGCGCCGTGGGAGGGTATTGTCCTGATTCCATTTATCGACGAACGCGTATTGCTTGCGTCGTACCAGTCTGTACAGAACAGAGTTAGTCCTGAGGATGAAATGCGCAATCGCCTTGGTCCGGCCACACTGTTTGTTTTTGATCCTGAAATGACTCCGCATGATGTACCCAACACAATGTTTGGGCCTTTACGGAATGTTCGGGTGCGCCGGAAGGTGTTTGAATGTTTACCGCAAGCGAAGTTTGTGCCGCGGCTCTGCCCAGGGGTTGCACTCGGCGAAAAACAGATGGAGGGATTCTGGACATTGCAGTCCAAGTGGGACTCCATCAAACTGCAGCGCGAGACGGGGGTGGTGACAGTCTTTGGCATGCCAACGCGAAAAGAAAGCATCATCCTGGCACTGAAGGATTCGATGAAGGCTATAAGCGTGATAGAGGCCATGCCGCTGGTTGGGCAGGAGGTGCTGGTTGGTTTTCCGCACTATCGTCGTGCCCGTGTCGCGTCCATCCGTGACAAGCGTATAACCGCTAGTGCTGTCATCGCGCAGGATGGCACCTTTTGTGGCACGGAGACGAGGGAACTGAATCGTGACGAGTCGCTAAATTTCACAAAAGAGTGTGACACACACATGCAGTACATGAAGGAAAAACTTGGCATTGCCGTGGACGGGATTTACATGCTCGTGTACGTTAACCTCTTTACCACCATGCGTCTGACTCGCAAGGGTCGTATTGTGCGGAGTTTTTCGAAAGATGAAGTTTGCTACCCCATGCAACTTGTGGCGCGCCTGCAGGATGTTGACATGATAGAGGACCCCCGTTATGTGGAGCGTGATCGTGTTGAAGGGGATATAAGCCTCGGTACCAGAGTCGTCTTTGTCGGCCCCGAACCGAAGAACAAGAAGTCCCCGATGCAAGTGTATGGCAGTGCTGGTTTTGTATTTGAATCCACCTCGTCGAGTAGTGACATGTACGCCGTGGCAGTGCGGGTGTACCAGGAATCCCTGGCGATTCCCTCCTCGTTGTTGTCATTTGCCGCCCCATGTAACTGGATGGCGCTACATGAGGTGGCAAATGAGCTGTGTGTGGGGCCTCTTGCCCTGCGTTTGCTGATTGGTTCACTGCGCACCACATCGCAGTACGGCTCACGTGAGGTGGGGTTAGGCATTGTGTTTACACGCAATCATCTTGCCCGAATTGGCTATGCGAAGCTTGTCCCACGTCAAACGAGTGCATGGGCACCGTACAACGAAGACGTTTTTGTGCGACTCGCGCAAAATTTAGAGCCTTCCGCCCACTACTTGGACAATGCAGGCAAGCGCGACTTTCTCGGTCGCTCGGGTCGCACGCCGCAATACACAACTTGGTTCTCACGTGAAGCAGTTGCACTTATTCGTCGATACGTGCAGGCGTTCGTGCCCCTTGTGAAGCGGCTTGAAAGCGGCACCGTTTCCCCACAATCCCTGGAGCCGCCGCAGTTTATGACCGGCAAATGGCAGGAGATGGAGGTGGATGATATACTAAGCGAGATTGAAGCATTCATTGAGGCGTCTGGCATCCGTGACGTGCCACTTATTGGGGCCAGCGATGATGTTTTTCCTCGCGAATACCTGCAGGAGTTGGAAGATGAACTTGACCGGCGGAAAGCACGCACCACAAAGGAAATTATACTGAACCCTGTGGTGAAACGCCACCTGTACTTTCCCCTTACACGCAGCAGCGACGGCCGCCTTACTCAGCTTCCACTGCCGCAGGATCAGACATTCCGTCTCGGCGCACGTGTCGTTAACTGCCGTGCAGTCGGTTGTGTCCCGTTTGGTGCGGTGGGCACAATTGTTCGGATACTTGCCACAAGCCACGACGCAGAGGTGGTTTACGATGAACCCTTTACTGGAGGAAGTAACTTTGATGGTCGATTGCGGGAACCGCGCGGCGGGCTGTCGAAGTTGTCTTCGCTGCTTGTGCTTAGCAGACCCGGCGACGACGTCGGTGGGGCCGTGACAGAGGCAGAGCGCAACACCGCCTCCATCCTCAAGGCCCTTGTGGAGAGGTCTCAACAGCAGCAACAGCAACAGCAACAGCAACAACAACAGCTACAGCAACAGCAACAGCAACAGCAACAGCAGAAGGTCGCAGTGCCCGTGGCGGATGGGGGGGTGCTTATTCCAAAACCACGCAGCGCGGCGGAGGACGCGCCAACGTCCGCTACACTGACTGGGATGGTCTCAACTCCTGCCGCAGTCACGATGTCTGGCGGCGCTGGCGGGATATGTTTGGCGGACCTCGTCGGGAAACTTAGGGCCTCGCCAGAGCATTGCGTGGTCGCGTCAGTAACGCCACCTACACTCGCGGAGGTGCAGAAAGGCTTCCGTCCGTCCCCTGCCACAGTGAAACCCAAGTTTGCCACTGCTATCACCAACTCTTCTGCTGCCGTGGGTAACAACAACAGGGGCGGTGACGACGGCAGAGGTTTTGCTGCCGTTACTCCGCCGCAGATGGAGGCCTACACGGTGGCGGGTGTTCAGAATGAGAATGGCAATAGTGCCGCTGTCGGCACCCGCTATCGCATGAATCCCCGCGATGGCGGCATCTTTGAAATTCAGGGTGGTGACAAGAAGCAAAAGACGACCCTTACTATTCCGCGTGGAATTGCGAGCGGCGAGTTCACCATCCGCAGCGGCGAGGCAGTATCGTTCTTCCGGCGGTTGCTGAAGTTGCGCCTCGCTGAAGAGCTTGGAAGGACACCCGTGCGTGAGTAGAACGAAGCGCGCACGACAAGACACCTTGCGAAAGAAAGTGGGCGGAGGTGTGCGATTGTGGATGAGGAATGGAGAGGGAATTGGCAGAGAGGGAGGAGCCACCATTTCCCTCCCCCTCATTCCCTTTTACTCCCTCCTCTTCTAAAGGAAAATGAAAGGAAGACACAAAAAGAAAATTTAATAAAAACGTTTCGCTGCTTCTACTGTTGATAACCCCAACTTTATAGGTAAAACACAAGATTATGTACATGCATGTTGAGACATATATATATATATATATATATATATGTCCACGAGTGGTGCTTAGGTTCTATAGATTTCTTCGCTTGCACGTGCTTCACCCTTCTTGTGTAATATTTCTGTATGTATTCATACGCGCTTACGCGTGCATGCACGCACTTGTATCTCTGCTGTTTTGAAAAGCAAACGAAAAAGAAAAAAAAAAGAAAGGAAAAAAAAACAATGCTAACGGTGGGGAAACTATGGGGAGAAATAAGGAGAAGACTTATATATGGATAAAATAGTTCATTGGCACTGCAGCTCTCGTCTCCCTCAATAGGGGAATGTTAGGGGAGTGAAGAGTGACCGTGCCACGGGGCCTGAGGGGGAAGTTGTGCGTGAAGGGAAAAAAAGAAAGGAAAACGTTTGGGCCTCTGCGACGCGGTGAAACGCGGGGTTGAGTGCTGAATAATGAGGTGAGAAACAATTTTTTTTTTTTTAAAGAATAAAAATTAAAATTAAAAAAAAAAACAAGAAGGGAATTCGTCTACGTTTGGATTAATTTCTCCCGCGGCATTCTTGTCTCTGTGGAAGCGGAGGAGGGGAAGCGGGCAGAATCTGAAGGGAAGAATGATGATGAAGAAAACAGTAATGG